GGGGAAAAAAACTTCAAAAGGAAATCCAAACAACTCAACTAGAAAGAGAGCTGAATTTCTTCGAAGTACAACAGCCCTTGAATGTAGTTGTGGACTCCCAGCCCAATTCAAAGACACATTCCTATATAGAGGTGCTTGTTACTGGTGACTTCTTGTAATCCTCGTCTTGAGAGGGCTACTCAACATGCAAAACAAACCAGTCCCAAGGAATTCCCACATCATAAGCAGCTATGACTGGACAAGATGCCAAAGTGAACAATATAGGCCGCAAAAAATCCCACCAGCCAAAAAAAAACCCGACCCCAGCAACAAAAAACCCCATATCCTACATAATGTTGGAGAATAAGCTGGATATGAGCTCATGCTGGAAAGTCTGAGACGAAGGCCTCAAGGCTGGAAGCATTTCCCTGACAGAACTTCAAAAGGAAACTGGTGCTCCTCCACTGAAGCTCTGGCTGTTATTACAAGCTTCATAGATAAAATGTTTAGTGTGACCACAGCAAGTGAGCTGTCTCACAAGCACGCAGTCAGCTGCGCCTTAGCACAGCTGGTAGAAATAGTTTCTTTGTAAGGCTCTTTTTTTCTTTCCATCTCGTGCAGCTACTTCCCTTGAAAACCACAGGGAGAAAAATCACCCAAGAGAACTATTTAATCAACTTCTGGATGGTCAGCAGCTATCTTCTGTAACTTTGCCAGCAATTTATAACATATACAACATCCAAAATTGATAATGCTTTACAAAATTAGCATAAGACATTCCCTTACCCTCTGAAGAGCTTACAATATTAAAGTGGGCAAGCACAGAGAGAAGTAGTCAATAATAAAAGGGATGATTGGGAGAAGAAAGAGTGAAAAAGGAGAAGGTTTACTGTATGACACGCAAACTGTATCTATAGATGGGCAATGACTCAGAAAATGGGATTTCTTCCTGCCCCCCACCCTTTAATAACTCACATAGAAGCTCCAATCCTGTTTGTGAGCCATAGTTAAACACATGCTACCCCTTCAATTTCAAACACATGTTTAACTATGGCTCACAAACGTGAATTTAAAGGGATTAAACTGCATCAAAGATGTCTCATACCTCACACTCTCATACGGAAAAAACAGAACAAGACAGAAGGATCAGCTACCAAGAAGTCTCTTTTCCAAATCTGAGCCATTTTCCCCATCGACTGCTGGGGATGACACGGATAGTGGGGACAGGGATGGTGCCTGGAATCCCATTTACCTGCTCTCAGATCTATTCTGATACCCCTTCCACCCAGTACACAAAAGCACATCACAGAAGTGACCATGCAGAGTACCTTAAGGAACGAAGGCATCCTCCTTCAAGTTCACTGGGAAATGTTCTCCACTAACAGCCACTTTAGGCACTTAAACCCACACACAAATGCACCCCCCCCAGTCCACAGCAGATGCACAAAAGCAGTAATTTCCGTATCGTATCTCTAGCTTTCATGTCTTTAATCCACCTCAAGCCCAAGACCCTCATTAAATAATATTTCATGTTAGACTTATGTAGGACTTAATGAACATGAAGTACAAAAACCTTCCCATGTTGCTCCAAGAAAGAGTATTTCTAGGCAGGCTTCCCAAACTCATTCTTGCGTCCTTAAAAAAATCACTGTTATCCCTCATACCCAAGGGAATGAGGAATTCTCGTTATCAGATAAACAAAAAGTCTATCCTACCAATTAAATGAAGTGCATTTCAGATTCCTATAATCAGAAATGAATTAATGTTATACTCGTGGGGACTGTTTTATTAGGCAGAGATAACTGGATTATCATCATTTCCAGGATATACTTAGACTCATTCACAGTACCTACCGATAGCAGGGAAGTTCTTCCTGTAGGTGAACCAAAGCCGAGAGGTCACATCCAACAAGATCTCTTCTTTCTCTGAAAATTTTTCAGCATCGAAAGGCACACGCATGAGGGTAGCACCAAACACAGCTAAATCCATCTCTTGCCCAGCTTCCCTAACGACAACACCATTCAGCTCCTCATTCAGTCTGTGTGCCCAGAGAAGCAAAATCTGGCTGAGGAACAGGACAGTGCCGCTATGCAGAAGAAACTTTCTTTTTCCCCCAAAATAGCCACAATCAACCCAAAGACGCCATGGCCACAGGCAAACTATGAAACAGTAAACCATTTTCTTGCCTTTCCTCCGAGCCATCCCCTTGCCTCAACCATCCTGGCCCTGTGGCACAAGCCCCAATAACTACTAAACAGTAACTTTCTGTACAAAAGTGTAACAGAGTATGCGGAGATGGCCAGACAGACAGCAGCACGGCAGTTACACTCTGCCTGCTCTGCCAGCAAGCAGATGCACTCTGCAGCTTGCTTATAAGGTTTGCAGTCACCTTGCTGCTCAGAAAGTGAAGTGCAACACTGACAAAGTCCTCTGAAGCATTAAAGCACGTTGCATTGTGCATGCAAAATACCTGTAAAAACACTGTATTTCCGTCCGAGGATCCAAACGGGTTCTTTGGTCTCAGGGAAGTCTTCATATTCAAACCTGAGAGTGTCATAGGTAAGAGTAGCTAGAAAGAGAAAGAAGAAATTACATACCTTTCATAGCTTTCCTTGCGTTTGAAAAGTCATACAGAACTACAGAATCAGAGCTGCTGTGGCCCAGCAACGTACACACGACAGCTGCACTCTGCTTCCCAGCACAGGCACCATGCTAGAACAGTTACCAGCAACGATGTCAAGGTCCTCTTTTCCAGTGAGCAAAGTGATTAAAATCCTTCTTGCAGAGAACACAGCAAGCACAGACTGCATTAAGATGGGAACTCAACCTTGCTCTGCAAGACAGTCCCTCCTCAAGAGGCAATGAATCCAGCAGAAGTCATCACCCACACTGAAAACAGCCTGCAGCTCAAGGAGCAGCACTGCCTTTACAGACATCACACTCAAATCTGAAGAACGTAGAGCTGTGCAGAGGTGTCCTTGTTCACAGGCAACAGGCAACCCTTATGTCTATTCTACTGGCTCCCTTCACAGCACGGCCTCCACCAGTGCCTAGATATCCACCTCCTCTTGCACGACCACCACAGAACAACTCAGCAGCACAGGCTGCCCTTGGAGCAGGACAGGTTAAGTTTTCATGCAAAAGGCACATGCAATGGGGAAGAAAAAAAAACGGAGAGTTGGACAAAGTGTGTTCCACCAGGTCTGTATTTGGAAATAAGGCACTTTAAAATGGTCTTGGAACCCTGGAAATGAACTGTCTAATTTTGTAGGTGTCAATTCTTTAACAAATCACCTACAAAATTTAAAGCAGAACTAAACCAGACTGTTTTGTAACTGTTGAAGTGATTACTGAAAATACCTCTCACAGCAAATGCAACAAAATCTGCAGTAACGTGACACGAGCTTAAAACAGGGCAATGGACTAAATGACAACAAGCTCCTCTCAGCCCCGTTTTCTGCGAAAGCCACCACCCTCCGTGGTACACACCTCACTTTCTGCTTCTCAGGGGAGTCGCCTGCTCCTTTCCTCTGGTGCTGCCTACGTAGCAGGTCTTGCCCTCCTCATAAGTAGAAGACGTTCACAAATGAGCTTTCCTCCCAGTCATTCCCTGCTTAGCGTTCCAGAGCATCATCTAGAGCACCAGTAAATAACAACTCGGCTGATTTGCCTCAACGATAGCTCCAGAAAGTCACCACAAGGTTCTGCTCCCTCTCCTTCCAGACATCTAGGATATTCCATGTTGTGCTCGGGCAAACAAGCTACGCAAGACGTTTTGGCTTCCTGGGGGTACCTCATCAGTCGTCAGCCCCTGGGTTCTCTGACCTGAAATTCCAATCCCAAATGCCAAAGAAAATATGTAAGCAGCAGCAGCAAGACAACATCACCAAGACCAACCACTGTTTAAGCAGGAACCCTGGCAATAGAGATGAAAATAGGCTCCTAAATCAAATTTTGAATTAGACTCTGGACCTAACCCTAGCCCGAAAGATTTAAAGTGTGTTCCTTGTGTGAATTAGGCTACAGACGGTTTCAGGCACATTTAGGATAGCATGGGCCACGTTCCCATTCCCGTCCTGTGATGTGACTTCTCAACAGCAACATAAGCAAAGCAATTCTGCTTGCACAGAAAAATGCCACGAAACCAGTGCAGTCTTTTCCTCTAACAAACTTCAGCAGTGAAATTAATAATTTATTTACCATATACTAGTCAAACTTCACGAATCCTCAGCAGTCCATGCTTTCTGCATCTATCTTTACCTAACAGCTTGGCTTGCCTTCACCCCTTTCTTGCTCAATGTTGGAGATTTCTTTCCAGGGAAGAAAGCAACATGACTTCTGCAGATGTTTTCAAGCGTGCATCACTTTCTCTTTTAATTTTCAGAAGTCTCCCTTTGGGATGAGACATTACAAGTCTATTCTGACAGCTCAAAGGGAGGCTAGTCATTTGGATTTTTAAAATTCAGTGTGTTACCAGATATGATCTTAACATAAAAAGTGAAGTTCTCGGATAGGTTTTAAAGCTCCACGGAATATTTCGTGGTTCGCTTTGTCAGTTCTCAACCTTGCCATAAATCCAGCTCTCTGTCAAAAGAGTCCCAAATAACTTAAATGAAGCAACTTAAAGAAGGATGCTACACAGAAACCGTCAAGCTACCCACCACCCCTCTTTCTTTCCTAGCAACACTTCCTCGCCTTCTCAAATGTCGCACCCTCAGCAGCTCCACATTTCACAGGGCACTAGGTCCTTGGTGAGCACAGGATTTGCAACTGGCAGCTTCAGGGCAAGGAACTGCTGGAGTCTTTCCCCTGCAATCAAAGCTAGAAGAGGAAGGGGTCGGCAGGCAGGAGGGATTCCCACTGGACCAGCTGCATATCCAGGGAACGCAGCGCATGCAAACTGCAAGTGCCATGACACTGCACATTCGGGAGGAGAGTCCCAGACTCACAGTCCTTCAGCTGAATGCCCGACATCTGGGCTCTGTGCAGATGTCCTGCAGGCCCAGCTGCGCACCCGAAAGATGCGGTCAGATGTTAGCACGTGTGCTGTTTTTAAATAATACTTGCAAAATACTTGCCACCATCTGAAAAGGCATAGCCGCTAAATGCGGGAGTTTTCACCTTCACAGGGAGAAAAATTCAAGTGATTGCTCCCAGCTAGTATCAATAATTGTATAACAGGAGCAACAAACTCCCCACAAGGCTTGAAGCCACTACGAGTTTCCTTCACAAACATCTACCTTCATATGCTCTAGCACTTTTTCAAAACTACATACATTGTGCTATTGCCCAGATGAGCTAAATATGAGCCAGTGGGACAAAAACAATGCAGGCAGGGGTACAAAGAGTGTCAGAGCTTGCACATGAGCCTTTTTCTCGCTTTTATACTTAGAGGCAAAGGGTCTGAAAGTAAGTAAAACTGGAAATTCACCAAGCAGAAATCCTGTTTGAAGATGCTCCTTGCAGAGCTGCAGAAGTCAGGCAAGATCAGCAAATTTCTCAGGCAGCACTCCAAAACTTCACCTTCAAGAAGCCCTCAATCTATTTTAAATACCAATCTCCAAGCATCCAGGACAGTAAAGCAGCAGCCTCGGCAGAAAATCTGAGCACCCATCAAATGTGACAGTTCAACTTCTCTCAGTGCACAGTGGATTTATAGTTCAAAAGCGAAGAGTTTCAGCCCTGCAAAGCACACCCTCAGGAAGGCGGCCTCGCTTTCCAGGAGCCTCCAGCATGCTGCGAATGATGTGAGGTTGGCTGGATCTCTGCCCTATAGACACACCTTCCATGGGGTCTGCTGTCGTGTCCCAGAACACCTTCTCATCCCACACCCTCCCCAGAAAGCCCCGACAGAAAAAGCAAAGCTTTGTACACGCCACTACAGAGAACACATATATTAAATGACCTAGGTAAAGACATTCAAACTAAAACCACATTAAATACCAGCACTAAGTCTGAATGTTTGAGTTCTTCTCCACCTCAGTGTGTGTGGTTAGATCTACTCAGTTATGAGATAACAGGCCACATCACAAAAGCCTGCCTTGTATGAAGCATAAGGAACCAGCTCTTGACACACCCAGCACATGCCTCCACTACCAGCAACTTTCAGTATCAGTTTACTAAACATGAGTATGCGCAAGGTTGTTGAAAAGCTATACAGCATCATCTTGATGTAATCAGGAAAAACTGCCTCAATACATAGAATTACGGTGGAGGGTGAAATCTTGCCTCCCTTTTTATATTCTTAAACTGTACAATGAAAAAGTCAAGGGAAAAATGTCGTCCTGACTTGTAATAAGCTCCCACATAGACAAACACAGAAGCGCAGCCAGGCACAGGGGAGCAGGCCCCAACTGGTGATGCCAGTTTGCAAATGTGCTGAAGACAAGATATGTGCTTAAGGCGAGTATCAAGCCCTTGACAGACACTAACTTTATCTGCTGTACCAAAACCAAAGCTATTTGTTTCTCTATGAACTTTGGGAAACAAATAACAACAAGTCAAAACTTTGATGACTCAAACAGAAATCCAGCAAGCCATTTCCCCTGTGGTTTGCACAGCTGACGTTCACTCCGGCATCAGTCATCTTGGTTACAGTTTGCCTGCACAGCTTAGATGTTTTGTCAAAAAACTTTTTATACAAAACAATGAAGCACCGATTTGGACCATCACACTAAAGGAAAACCAGGCTTTGCAATGCCTCCCTTCCCAAATTGCTTCATGGGCTTCCCTCAGTTGCCAGAGAGGCCTCTTTCTCTGACAGAGTAACACTCCTCAGGCAGTGCCTGCAATGGCTTGGAGACATTTTCCCCAAGTCCTTCAGCATCCAATTAACATCGCCACAAAAGAATCAGAAACAGGGTGGATGATCAACTGATAAAGGTACATCACCCGCTACAGAGCAGAGAGGAAAGCTACTGGATGTAGGATGTTTTAAAAGAGAGTCAAGAAGAGAAGGTAAATTTATTGTGTTAGCAAAGCACCTTAATGAAAAAAGCCTAGAAAATAGATAACCAAAGAAATATCCCGAATCCTTACTTCTGGCCTTAGCAGAAGAAAGATTAAGTGTTTTCTTTCCCCTAAGCTCTTTCAGACAAGACACATGCTGACTATCTAAGCAACAAGGAGTTAAGAGACAGCCAGGGAGGAAAGTCAGTCAACTGGAGAGCGCTTTCCTGCAGGCCCAGAGCAAACAGTTCAAAGTCTGCCCGTCAGGTCCCCAACCGTCTCCAGAGCAGGGCTGGATGCGAAGGCGCTTGGGCTCTCATTGCTCCAAAGCCCAGAGACCCACCTCCTCTTTGCACAGAGGAGATCCAGCCCTACTGCCTGTCACGGCGAGGTTTCCCTTTCCTCAGCAAGCCTTGTAATGCTTACACAAAGGGAAAGCAAAAAATCTCTCCCAGTTTGGGCTGTGTAAGTTCCCTCGCTGTGCTTTGTTCCCACGTGCAACGGACCGGGCGCAGCGACGTGCACGGCACGCGCCAGGCAGAAAGTCGGGATGCCGTCAGCTGGGCTGCACAGGCAGCAGCAGCGCCTGCAACCAAGGACAAAATCAAGTCAAAGCAGCAACCCCGAGGGATGAGAGCTACGGATTCCCCCCACACACACACGCTTGCCCAGCGCGGCGGAGGAGCCCATGTGAAAACGTTGGTTATTACGGAACCCTGCTTCTCTGCAGAGGGAGGGCGAAAGCTGTCACTGCGTCAGGGCTAGCAGGCAGCGAGTCCCACTCCTCTCTTTCCCCCCCACTCCAAAACAAAACCTCCAAAGCAGAGGGGCCCTGCCAGGCCTTCTCCTTCCGGTTCGCCTCCCAGGCA